ACAAAGTTGAAAAGGAATGGAGAGAGTGGGCATCCCTGACGGACACTGCTTTGTGTGCGGAAGCTTTTGGAGAGCTCTCCGTACACTCTCACACGTCCGGAAGTCTGAGAATACAAAGAACGTATTATGTTTACAAACTTCCGGGGCATTCCTTGGTGGGCAAGCGTCTCAAGAAGAACAGACCGATCAACCGAGTCGAATGCGCCTCGGAAATCCAGGAATACTAGAATCGTGGGTCGCTTATACGTATGGCGTTGTCCTAGCACCTGACGCAGTGTGAAGATTTGGTCAACGCAACTAATCTAAATATTTCCGTCGCGTGATCTGGCGTGCTCCATACACCTGCAAACTGAAGGGTACTGCTTTAGGACAATGGGCTCGAATCCGAACTTTATGATTGTGGAGGAGCCGACTGAGGTAGCAGACATATTTATCTACCTTGGCAGCTCTGCCAGTCCAGGTGGTCTAGCCAAAGAGGATATTTCCACCAGAGTCGGGAACGCTAGGACAGCTTTTTAAAACCTGCATCACCTGTGGCGCAAGCGTAACACCAGTCTATCTGTTATATAGGTCAGAAACCTGGCCGCTGCGCTCCAATGACACTAAAAACTCATTGTTTAACCATCGATGTCTTCAGAACATTGCCGATTCTTGTGGCAATATCGGATCAGCAATGCTGAATTACGTAGAATGGTTTTCGGAAGACCGTTACGAAAAGATTGGACCACACTGATGCACATACACCACATCGGCCATCTCGTGGTGGTCTTGCTCATACAGCAAGGCGGGTAAACGAAAACGACGTACTGCTGACGCTCCCTTTTTGCTTCTCCTCTTCTGCCTCCCCACTCCATCAACACCTTTTTTTCTAGACCCGTCAGTTAGGACTGATGGCCTTGTTCGTCTTGCATCGGTTTTGCAAGGAACATCTGCACTTCATCTGCCGTTGATATCCTCAAGCATCAACACCCAATCTACCTGGCTGCTCTCAATGTTAGCACTCTGCACCAAGCAGGACAGCAAGCTGCTCTCGCTCTCACACTGAACTCGCTTGGCGTTGGCGTATGCTGTGTATGAGAAACAAGCATTGGAGATGCAAGCACAGTGGTTGAGCAAACCGCCCCATCACTATTCACTCGCATTCGGCTGCGCATCCCTGGCGATCCAGAAGCTGTTGTGGCAGGACGTGCAAGTGTTGGTATCATCCTTAGTCACCAGATGAAAGGATCTTTACTTGACTGGATATTCTGTGCGGTTGGTCTGGTAACGTCTGTGAATAAGTTCCACAAGTTGGAAATTGATCGCTGTGTGTTTGTCGTGCCTGCTTACGCCTCACCCAACTGTAACTCTGGCACCATCAAATACAAGTTTATGACGCCCTGAATGCCAGGTTGCGACGAGCTAGAAGCTCAGGTGATTGCCGCGGATCTAAGTGCACCAGTGGAAGGCTTAGCATAGCTGAGGTTCAGTTAGTTGGTTGACATGGATTAGACTCAGTACGTGTGGACAATGCGGCACGATTGACTTAGCTGTGCGATGACCGCAGGCTGTTTAAATCCAGCCCTATTACAGGGAACAGTGGTATTGCTTAAATCTCGGAGACCTATTTCTGCTGGTGCTGAGCGTGAATTTCGTCCGAAGAATTATCAGACGTTAAGTGAAATTGAGTGTGCCCACCGACCGTGAAGTCTTGTGGACCGGAAGGCCAAGGAAGAACAGTGGTCTTAAATCTCGGAGACCTATTTCTGCTGGTGCTGAGCGTGAATTTCGTCCGAAGAATTATCAGACGTTAAGTGAAATTGATTGAGTCCACCGACCGTGAAGTCTTGTGGACCGGAAGGCCAAGGAAATAGAAGAGACCGAGAAATCCGGTAATGCCCAAAGATGATTTCAGTTGATACATAGGACTGGTCCTAAGAAACCATCTTTGAGAGAAACCAAGGATCAGGATGAGACGACCATTTTGAATAAGGAACAACGGTTCAACCGTTGGGCCGAGTACTGTCATCATCATCGTCGTACAGTGGCTGTAGCTGCCGCAGTTTCGTTCACCGATGTTTTTTTTGGGGGGGTAGGTACAGTGGGCTGTCAAGTGGGGGGGTTGGAAGAGGAGCTATGCATTGAAGGCAATAGCTTTGATGCACGAGCGCCATTGAAGGCGCGACTGGGCCATATATGACAATGTCTCTAGCCATTGATGTGGCCCGTCTCGGGGTCCCCATCCAGGAAGACGGCAGTGACCAGCGCAGCTGAGTTTGCTGGTAATGGC